CCTGATGCAAGCGCACTAATGGCGTCATCTTCGCTAAATCGGTGTCTTTTATCGTAAAATGCGACACTTTCACAATGTTTATACATCTTTTTTTAATTATTAGTAAGATATAATATATTTTTTCTGATATCACTGAAGTTTTGGGTTTTACTTAATGAGTAATTTTTAAATAAGAGACATTTTACTGTTTTAATTTACTGGATCGTACCATTAAAGTCGCAGGGTAGAAAGATGCATTTGCCAACCGCGCCAAATTTAATTTACGTTCCGACATTCTGTTAAATGGGTTTGTGTTGTTAAGAATCCACTGCTTTCTCCTCCAACAAACGTCCACATGCGGAGTCGTTTATCAACTAAATTATTCAGATTTATACTTCCTAGCTTCCTAGGTGTTTGTGTTGCTGTTGAAGCATTTCATTCACCTGCTATCATTCTTTGTACTCCAATTGCCAGAACGCAAAATGCATTTTGGTTTTGTAGTTTCATTCAATAAGTAAGTCAATAAAAGAGTATGTTCTGCACGATAAAAACAATGTGTGTCCCTATTGTACAATGTAATGTGTCCCCTCATTTTGTAATAGTTAATTAACCCATTCACATAATGGAACAACCTGCCCGATGAAGCCAGTGTCCTGTGACCCCAGAGCACTCAACACCGTGTAAGAGTCAGTTCGTGGTAAAATTCTTTTATGAGACAAATACGAGCAAACGTTTCCATATGAGGATTATCATAGAAAAAAAGAGAGTAGTTTACAATAACAACCATGAAATTCTCTTTTTAATGATACCAAATACGGCCCATAAAGAGACAAAGAGAGAAAGAAAAAAAAACAATTCAACTCCCGTCATAATACAGATCCTGTACGTTTTCCGCCCATGCATTACACGCATTGTCTATGGGGCACATCGGGTTCACGCTATTGGCCCCCAGAACGATCTTGATTGCAATGACGAACATGCACCAAATCCCGTTGGTTTTTGCACGCAGAGCTTGCGAGCCCTTTCTAGGTTCTTTCCCCTATCCCAATTTCTTTCAAACTTCGTAGGCATAGTCACTACCATTCCATCAAGGTCACTGTTGAGGCCTTTCTTTCGCCCTACCTATCTCCAATATCACAGAAGCTACAGACTTCGTACAAATTGCTCTGGATAGTCCGAGAGAAGCTCTTCCGTTTGACACGTAGAATACATGGCGTCATTGCACGCACATCGTTGTGACACGATTGCATTTCTAGTTACACTTCTTTTTGTAATTGTTTTTAGCAATGATTTTCCACAAAGCAAGGAATGTAGTCTAGCCTACCCTTAAATGGGTTATATTCTTCGCCCACAGAGAACAAATAAAACTGAGAAAAACCAGAGGGGGTCTTGCTTTTGTACGATCACAGTAGGCCTACCCACACATAGGAGCATCACTATCATGGCTGTGATATAACACACAACACTGGCACCAGATGGTTTATTGATTTCAAACTTGACTGAATTTGGTATTATTGCAATCGAAAAATTACACTGAGTAAAATCATTACATTTGTGTAACTTGTACATTCGAGCGAAATTTATAAAAGTTGATTGAACTTGACGAAAAATCAACCCACTCAACGCCCCGAAAACATCGTAAGTCAGCTGATTTTTTTTTGAATGATTGACGTTGCGAGATGCAGTTTGCGTGCGATTCACATGTATTGCATTGACTCTCGAGTACCGTACCCATTTTATACCTAACGCTGTTTACCTTCATCAAAATCCCCTGGAAATATAGATAATGGACGGAAACATACCGTACTTGAGTATACTCCAGAAGGCTCCTCCATGGCATGGTTTTGGTTCTTAATCTGACGTTAGTCTAGATAAATGGTATATAACTTCCAAAAAGCAAGTGAATATATCGTCGATGTAGCGTTCAAGTTTCCCGTAGCTAGTAGCTGTGCGTGCGTACTGTGCATGTGTGTGCAATACACTGACATCTCTATGCGTGCATCACATCTAGCGCAGATTGCTAGCCAGCCTAGCTAGGCCGTAGCCCGGCGCTCGAGCTAGCCGTACGTGAATTGCGAACCGGACTGATCTGTTTCTCTCAGTTTATCAGGTCCTATACGACTTAATTTATCAAAAATGTAAATTAATCAGCCTAATCACACAGTTTTGTAATGAATATCTGGACAATTCTATGTAAATTTGTCGCCTATTTTACGACAAAAGAGTCGTTAGGTCAGCATGCAAATTGCCTTTCCAGATCAGACACATACACGCTAGGTGCCCTCAGAATATGTGATTATTTTCCCGATTTTTATGCTCAAGTGTGACGGAAAAAAATATAAAAATCAAACAAACATTTGTAGAAAGTATCATTTATTCAGTGTATCTCATTTAAAATGCCAAAAATAGAGGAAATATCACCACTGGCGGTAAATATACAAACAACGTTAACCCATATCTGAAAATTGCAATGGGTATCCAACATTGTCCTGAATGTGTGATGTAGGTTGTTCATATTGTGACGTCATCGTTTCGCATGTAAAATAACGCCGTCAATTCACTTTGTGAGTGGGTTCAGGAAAGGCCAACAACATTGCATTTAATTTATTCCTCACAACAGTGAGGGGTTCAAAAGTACTTTGCTCATTTTGTTAATGTTCTTAGCAATCCGTAGTGGTGTAATTTGCCCACTTTCCACATTTCAATGAACCATATCTTTTTAAAGCAAAATTTTTAAAAGACTGCATGTACTACGATACTTTTCAAAGAACTACTAATATTTTACATGGGATATAACCCATCAAAAATACATAAAGAATGGAACTTAATTACAAGTTTCGTTGGTGGAATTTTCCTTGGTTTCCAGACATCTGGTCTACTTGTTTGCTTATAGCCCAATTTTCTTCAGCTAACGTGCGCCATTTTCGGATTTAATGACGGTTTTTTTATGCCTCCGCCACCGAAGGTGGTGCCGGAGGCATCATGTTTTCGGGTTGTCCGTCCGTACGTCCGTCCGTCCGTCCGTCCCGTTTGACCGTTATCACAATATCTCAAGAACCATTTAAGATTTAAACTTAAGACTCGGGAATATTATGTATCACCATAGGAAGACGATCTGATTAGATTTTGGAGCACGTATGTCAAAGGTCAAGGGTCACAGAGGTCAACTTATGAAATTCCATACATTGAGATTGTTATCATGATATCTCAAGAACCACTGGAGATTTAAACTTCAAACTTAGTGATAGTGTGTATCACTACAGGAAAACAATCTGATTAGATTTTGGAGCACGTATGTCAAAGGTCAAGGGTCACAGAGGTCAACTTATGAAATTCCTTGTATTGAGTTCGTTAGCGCGATATCTCAAGAACCATTTGAGATTTAAACTTCAAACTTAAGGATAGTATGTATCACCATAGGAAGACGATCTGATTAGATTTTGGAGCACGTAGGTCAAAGGTCAAGGGTCACAGAGGTCAACTTATGAAATTCCATACATTGAGATTGTTATCATAATATCTCAAGAACCACTGGAGATTTAAACTTCAAACTTAAGGATAGTATATATATCACCATAGGAAAACGATCAGATTAGATTTTGGAGTACATGTATGTCAAAAGTCATAGAGGTCAACTTGAAAATTTCAGACTACATGTATAGGACTTGTCATGATATGTCAAGAACCACTTGAAATATGTTCCGTTACTTAACCTGTACTTAACTGGGCTATTTTGAGCACCTCCCTGACTGGGGGGGGGGGGAGGGGCCGATTGCCTCGAAATTTGGCACGCGTCTTGAGAAATTGCGCAAAGCAAGAGACCTCACTATTATTTTGCTGAAAATTGCTTATTTTATCAATTATGCTAATTTATGCAATTGCATAAAGGAAGAGACCTCACTATAATTTTGCTGAAATTTACTTATTTTATCAATTATGCTAATTTATGCAAATCAAATTCATGAATAATGATTTTTATTAACAATTACATAAATAAAGCTTTTACAGAGTTGATTTTGTGGCAAAAAGTTTCTAAAAAGCCTATCGGGCATTATCACATAAAAAAATTGTCCATGTCTATTTCAATTCTTATGTATTTCATTGTTTTATGAATTTCTTTTGTATTCTATTGTTTTTAATTCTTAATCTTATGTATTGTATTGTTTTAGGACTTCTGATACTTGAGGTTGTTACGTATCAATATTTTGCTTGAATAAATGATCACTAAACTCTAAAGAGTAAAATTATGCTGATTTATAGACCAAACTAGAAACTTCACTTTGCCATTCATTTTGTACACAAAATGACAAATTTCTCAATTTTCGGCTTGACCTTAAGGAATACAATCCGATTTAATTTTGTAGTAACTTGCTCAGGGGTCATAGGTCACAGAAGTCGACTCATAGAATGAATTTCCAGGTGTTGGCTTTTTTAAAGTTAAAATCTCTCTAACCACCTACATGTAGACATATAAACATAATAGGTAGATGATCTGATTACATTATGGACTAATTACATGTAGGTCAAATGTATAACCATAGAAAGACGATTCGATTTTTAGAATACAAAGAAAAGAACGGGATGGGTGGGGGTAAAGAAAAATCATTTGACAGTGATCATTTTGTTTGACCCACAATTATGTTTTATCAACCTATGAAATAATAAAATATTGAAGCGTTTAAAGTAATTATTCAAGTTTTAATCAGTGGGATACTATTGATTGAATGTAGTTAATACCTGGAAATGAACTTTTGGACCACTTACCTTAGACTGCGATCCAAATGACATCATGATCACTATAGTAGCTTGCAGTTTGCCATGTGGTGCAGGGTGTGTTGGAGTATACATGATCCAGCAGTGATCCACTGACATGTGTTGGCTTGGTGATACATTGCTGAAATCCATAGTGTTGCAGTTCATGCTGGACTGCCATTGAATGCTGACCTTTTAGCAGGTTAAGATTGAAGTCTCCAACAATTATGGCCGGTATTTCTGTTGCTCCTACTGACCTCAGGAGTAGGCTATCTGTCACTGAATTCTACCAATGAAGATTTGGGATTTCTATAGACGGTCACCAAATGAAATGGAGAGCTATTGACTGGATGTAGGATGATGCTCTGAATTTCCATCCCAGGTTTGTCTTGTGATGAATCCAAGGTCTGATACCTTACAGATGAGCTGATATACATGCACAGACCACCACCCTTCTCTGTGTTGGATCTATCTCTGCGTAATTGGTGATAGCTTGGCAAATTGTACGTGGAAGCAGTGTGATGTGATTGAAGCCAGGTTTCTGTAAGACACACAGCAGTACATTTGTCAAGGAATGGAAGTCCCTTGAGATCATCGTAATGAGCAGGTAACGATCTTATATTGTGCACAGCAATGACTTGTGTTTGGCAAGGATCCTTGAGTGCAGTCTCAATTTCATCATGGAAGAATTGAAATGACATTTCATTGCTCATTCTCATCAACTCTTTGGTCACAGCTCTGCTTGCTTTAATCTTACTTGGTGTGAGCTGCAAAAGATGAAGACCTGACATCTTTGGTACTCTACTCAAAGCAACGTAGCATTGTCCATCATTGAACTTCCCTTCCATAGATACTACTATATCCTTGACAGTGAGTCCTTGCACCTTGTGTATAGTGGTGGCCCATGATAGTCGAAGAGGAAATTGTTGCCTTTTTATTTCTAGTCCGGGATTACGTGCTGAAATTGAAAATTTTGCTTCTATGACACCAATAGGGACTGCAGTAGGGTGTTGAGCCTTATTCATAGAAGTCTTTTCTCCAGCCATTGCCCCAACTCTTGGATTGTCAAACTGGACTAAGACTTCCTTAGGACTGGTAACTGGGTGCCAGGTAAAAATGTCAGAGGTAAAAATGTCAGAGGAAAAAATGTCAGAGGTAAAAATGTCAGAGGTAAAAATGTCAGAGGAAAAAATGTCAGAAGTAAAAATGTCAGATGAAAAAATGTCAGAGGAAAAAATGTCAGAAGTAAAAATGTCGGAGGAAAAAATGTCAGAGGTAAAAATGTCAGAGGAAAAAATGTCAGAGGTAAAAATGTCAGTCGTAAAAATGTCAGAGGTACAAGCAAAAAAAATGAGTGCAGTTATAATATCTCAGCACTTTTATCACACAGAATGTCGAGACGTACTGCTACTGCATGGGCTAGTCTATTATATTCCTTTCTTCCATAATGTAAATTTTATAAATGGCTGTGTTTTGTATTTCGTACATGTCCTGAGGATAATACAATGTGGACAATAGATTTTGAAATTTATTTTGTTGTGATCAGTCTTGCATATTTATATGTATGAATGTCTAACATTTTTTGATATTTTGAATTGGTTGATGTGTTAATGTTTGTGAAACGGACCGGTTTGGCCGGTGGCAGCCTGCAACCTAGCCCGTGTAACGTTTCAGAGACGAACAAAGTCCAAACGAAGAAATGAAAGTTCTCGACAAAAGTCAAGTGGTAAAGTGAGTAGTGCATTTAGTACAAATAGTTACATATAATCACGAGGAATCACGAAAAGTTACATATAAGGGCTGGGCGCCCCGAACTCTGCTAAAGCTTTAGTACTTCATAAGAAAATCAAGAAGTCGCTCCGAAAAGTAAAAACTCGCTCCGAAAACTAAAAACCCGCTCCAAAAAGTAAAAGACCGTCTCGATTCAGAAGCTCGTCCCCATTTTAAACTCTCCGAAAATTATAAATAACGATGTAATTTAAACCGAACCTCTGCAAAACGCGCGCTTCTCTGGAATGTGATGGTGCGGTTGGCATTTAAAGATAAAGTTGAGTTCTGGTCTTTTGATTGCATTGTGAAAGAAACGGTGTGGAAGCAATCAGAAAAAGTTGATCATCTAGCATAAACATGTAAGTATTGGTGTGTAGTGCAAGGTTTTGGAGTCATCAAAATGATAAAATCTTTGGCCCAGTCTTGGTAAAGTAACAAGCACTGTACACAGACAGATATTGATATGGGACTACACAAACATATGGCATACAAATCGGGCCTCATTTTAAAGCTGTTACTTGTCATATCTGGGATATGAAGTCATTTGAAATAGATTTTCAGGGAATAACTTTTTTCTTTGATGTTCTTCCACACTTGCATAATAAGAATGATAAACGCTCACAAATTATTGTTCACCTTTCCCTCCTTTTAATTGATGTAACATGGGCGGCTTTCTGCTTTGTATCGGAGTTACAAAGCTGCTTATTGATTTTTCCCAGACTATTATATACCGCAATAGTAATCGACAATATTTTATTGCAACGTGCGCACTTCGGGAATGTGATGGTGCGGTTAGCACTGATAACATGGGTTTCTGCTTTGTTTCAGAGTATCAAAATACCAAGCCCTCAAGAAAGTGGAATTGTCGGAAATATGCATTTATTGGAATTACATATAATAGTAGTCATTGCCACGCAGTTAAAATGTCTAACAATCTTCAAAAGTGAAGGAGAAGTTGGGGGGGGGGGGGGGGGAGGTTCATAGATATCTGATCCTATTTTGTGGGCTGTACTGACTTTTCTTTTTATTTAATGATTACACCATGGAGCGACAACTCAGCCTATAAAACATGGCCAAACATCTCGATTTTAGAAATCTTTTCCCCCAGAAGTTTACTCAGTGTACCAGTACCATTTGCTTATACAAAAGCATAATATACCGGTACATAAATGTTGAATAAGGCAGACTAATGGGACATGCATGGTTGCTACTCCGAGTTTCACGCCTTGCAAGCGATCATCAGACAACTGATAGCATTCGTCAAAGTACATGATTCCTCTACAACCTTGGTACAAATACGCTCAAAATAAGACTCAACTAATACAATACAATACAATAAGACTAATACAATACCTGAATACAATACAATAAGAATACTCATGAGTAATTCCAATTGTATTTTATTAATTAAGTCTTATTTTAGGGGTTGTAGGATAATCATGTACTTTTAAGAATGTTATCAGTTGCCTGATGACTGCTTGCAAGCAGGGCGCGAAACTCGGAGTAGAAACCATATCCCATTAGTCTGCCTTCTCTGCCTAGGCATTGACCACTGTTCGGAAGGATATATAGCAAAGCATATAAGAGGAAGGGGAGAGCAGCCAGCTAGGTCACCGTGCCCCAGAAGAAGAATACCCCCCCCCCCATCTTCCTTCGGCAATAATCGGGCAAAAAGTCACAATTTGGGGCCGAAAGGTAAATCATTTTAAACTGGGAAAGTGGAAAATAAAGCAGCGGTGAAATAACGACTGCAGAATATCCCTCGCTGTTCTTTTTTCGATAAGCCTAATATATAACCCAGGTGTAACCATAACAAACTTTTCACATGCTTTTGTTTTTATTTTATACCTCTGACATTTCTTCCTCTGACATTTTTACCTCTGACATTTTTTCCTCTGACATTTTTACCTCTGACATTTTTACCTCTGACATTTTTACCTCTGACATTTTTTCCTCTGACATTTTTACCTCTGACATTTTTACCTCTGACATTTTTTCCTCTGACATTTTTACACCGAGCCGGTAACTGAGGGATTGAATTCATTGAAGCTGACAATTGTTCCTAATGCACCATTTACAAGACCATCGTTCACATCAATATTCCTAATGAGCATTACTCTTGCCCCTATCTTCAATTCTAGGACAGCTGGCAATCCACCAGTGAAACGTGAGTCTTTGTTCATTACATGACCTTTCAGGGTATTAGGTTTCCTATCTATAGCAACACATTTCCTAATTCTTCCTTTCAGGTGTGCAAGTTTGTCCTCATTGTAGGCATCAACCTTTGCGTTCGTTGAGTACCCATGCAGTGCATCTGACAAATCATTTTTGTCTTCTGACGAGATACAGCATTGCTGCAAATTTGCTACATCGTCTTCTGTGTGGACACCTTCTCTTATTCTGTTCAGAAGTTCTGCAAATTCTTTATCATCTTTTTGTCTCATGATTTCTGTGAGCTCTGCTATCATGAAATTGTCCTGCCATAGAGATCCTGCCAATCTAGCGAACAGGTCTTTTACTTCTTGAAAGACAAATCGCTGACACACTGGGGCTAACTGGTACAAATCTCCGAAGGCCAAGACTGTTATTCCACCAAAGATGATGTCTGTACCTTTTATTTCCCTTAGACGCTGATCTATTGTCATCAACATGTCACATCCTACCATTGATATCTCATCAATGATCAGGATTTCAAGATCTTGTAGTTTGCATCGAAGTGTGTTCCTTTTTTCATCACTCAACTTTTTGTATCCTTTAGTTTGGCCAAGAGGAAGGAGAAACAGTGAGTGCAAAGTACTTCCATGAATGTTGAATGCAGCAGTTCCTGTAGGTGCTGTCAACAGTACTCTGTGTGCATCAGGATTGGTTCCTTCCCTCTGCAAGGTACGTAGAGCCATTTGGTGAATTGCTAAAATCAGATGAGATTTTCCTGTTCCTGCTCCTCCAGTTACAAAGAGGTGTATGGCTTTGGCTTTGCAGGTTGTCTTGCCACTTTTCATGATATCAGTGCACCAGTTTTGCATGTAGTCAAACACTTTGCGCTGTTCCTGGTTGAGAGATTGAACTTTACTTCTATATATCTCATCAATAAGATATTCAGGTCGACATTCCACAGCCAAAGGTAGTGATGCACATATTTCAGATTCTTTTATGTCTGTGTCTGTGTGTTCAGAGCTCGGTTGAAGGAAGCTGTATTCAGGGTGTATTTGACACTGTTCTTCATTGACCTCCGCGTTTTCTTGTTGAGTTCCTGTATCTAGCGTGTCCCAGGCATGAACAGGAGGCCCCTCTTCTTCATGTCGTTCAAGAGCATTTTCAATGATTTCTGTGAACGATTCTAATGCTGATCTTTTTGACTCAATCTGATCTGATATCGTGTGATAATGATCAGCATAAGTCAGATGATTGTTCTTGAGGTCAGTTTCCTCATTTCGCCATGGTAGGTACAGCATCAGCATGTGGTGGCAATATCTCTCTTCTTCTTGATTTTCACTGAACTTGTGATACCTGACAATACAAGGCTTGTTACGCTTCTTCATGTAGCCTTTTTTGTCTGTTAATTTGATAGTTTGTTTCGAAGTCGATGATTCTTTGAGTTGATTCGGTTGGAAATCATTCTCAGTTTCCATGTCATCAGTTTTGTAGGAAGGGACGTACCATCTTGCAAACTCGGCTAGTGTCAATTGCTCTAATTCTGTTGGCCGATGCTCATACTTCTGTGAGAATGTTTGTGCATACACATCTTCACTATCTGCATCCATTCCTTGTAGAACACACTTTGGTTTCAAGAACACTACCCTGTTCTCTGGTAGATCAGTCTGGATGAACACTGTTTGAAATGTAGACCTATACAGTGGTAGACCTAAGACACGATATACAGTTTCTTGTGCACTCACTTCACGAACGTTTAGAAAGCATGAAGCTATATGCTTCATTCTTTTCTTAATGTCTGCATCACGGAAGGCTTTACTGACTTCCCTCAGTGCTAGCCCCATTTCTCTTTCATCCTTTGTAATGTATGATACAATGTAATGGATACATGCATAAGGATTGCACACATACTGAATATCCATGTTTGCCTGCCAGGCTTTCAGGAGAGTTGGGTTGTATGTGTTTATGTTGGTTTCTTGAGGTGTTCTTGCATACATGATGGATTTTCCATTGGAATTGACACGTAATGCATCTAGATATTCATCTTCACTGGTGTTCACATCACTGAGTACATCTTGCACTGATAATCCCTCTTCAGTGGTTTCATCCAGTGCATTTTTCACTTTATTCATGGTCTCAGCAGATGCCTCTACTATTTGTTTTCTTATGTTAAGATCTTCTGTGCTTGGTGTGTCAGCTACAACTGTGACAGGAGCAATTGGACGTGGATACAGAAATCTACAATTCTTGCCTGTCTTCCTGCATGAGGCTGAATGAGAGTGTCGCTGTAGATTTGAAACAAGGCTGTGCATTAGTTCATCATCTTCTGATGGAGGAAGCTGACAAGTAACATACTTATCTATGAATCTGGAAATATTTTCCTCAGTATCTTCATGACTTGGTGCATTTTCTACCCACAGAACACAATGGGCATGAGGTGATCCGCGACCTTGGAATTCTATCCTTATCATGTGATTGGTCACCGTCCCTAGTGGCTGCAAGTCAGAAAGAATCACATCTCTGAAGAAGCATTGTAGTCTGTGATCAAAGTGTCTTGCAGCAGTTACTGGATTTGAAGCCAACAACTTGCACTTTTCTTCCCATGTCATTTTAGAAATGTCCTCATCTGTGAGAGTCCGTCCCTGCTGAAGTGCAATCACCTGAAGTGTATCTGTCCATCTAAGATCAGCTGCTGATAGTGTGAGGAACCACGTGAACATTCCAAGTTGTTTGACAGCAGCTAGTATTTTGTACATAACTCCTTGCCAGTAAGGTGGTGATCCACGCACTGTCTGTAGCATGTTATAGGCTTTGTCTCTGAAAATGATGCGATTGAGCTTCTCACTATCATTTACTATGCCAGCTGTCACATGTTCAGAATCATCCCTGCTCAGTCGCACCTTTCGTAATGCAATAGAAATGTTGTCCATGACCTGTTTGTACTCGGTGACAAACTGTGCGAAAAACAGGTATTCAATGTTTTGTGCAAATCTAGCATCTTTATTCAAAAGTCTGGCAGTGAAGTACTTCTTTGGAGAGAGCTTGATGGTTCTGTCAACAGTGAAACCAAATTCACCAGTTGGAAACAAGGTTGGAAAGGCCTGCTCTTCACAATGTTCATCCATCATTATTGAAATAGGTTTCTTCCCCTCACCTGGAGCAATACTGAATATGCCATCAGAATTCATGGCCGGGTCTGTAGGCTGGATACATGTATCAAAGTTGACACCACGTAGTTGATCTCTTGGATCTTCATCTTCTGCCTCGGTCTGTTCACTGTCTCGTTTATCACATTCATTGGACTGGTAAATAGGATTATCCCCATCATTTTCATCATCAATGTCCATTGTAGAAGTTGACAGTACTGGTAGTTCATCAGCAAAGTGACTGCTATCTACCCCAGCAGGAACATCATTGGTAGATCTCTCTTTCTCTTCAAGTACTAGTTCCTTCCACATTTCTTCATCTTCCTCCATGCATTGCTTCTCCCACTCTACATTTTCTTGACTGTCTTTGTAGAATTTGTTTATCTGCTTTAGCATCTCTAGAGCACTCAGTACCACATTAGGTCTGATGTTTTCATAGGTTACATGACTTTTATACTGGATTTTCCTTTTCAACTTTAGGGGGATGATTCCAGCCTGTGAAGGAGTGCGAGGTAGACTTCTGCAAACTACTTCTGCTGTGACAGGTACATTCACGACAGCACCTTTTATCCCGCTTTGTTTTCCTTTTGGAAGTGCCAGTATTTTCATGAAGGGATATCTCTGTGCAAGAAGTCTAGATTCTAAGCTTGTCAGTTCTTTTAGGTCTTCTGGAATATCATGAACCCCCCAGTTTATTTAATACACACTGAGGAGGCATTTTCTCTTTCTTTAAATATGTATTACAGGTTTTACATATCCATTCTATTCCACCAAAACTCTTGAAGTTGCTTGTGCATTTGTCAAGGAAAGATTCATTAGTTGGAAATGCACTTTTTCGGAAACAGAACACTGAATTTCTGTATAGTTGACGATGACAACATGTGCACACGTGTGCTGAAGCTTCATTTTTATGTTGCCAAAAAGTAGAAATCACCTTGTCGGTGTCAGACGAATGACGCATTCTTTTCTTCCGAGTAACATCTTCTTCTTGTAGTTTTCTCTTCTCACCTGTTTGCAAACCTTTGCGAACAGAACTTTTCCTCAGTCTGTCTTTTTCGTTTTCATATACCTTTGTGCTATTAGTTTGCTTGTGACGTAAAGATGCTAATCGCTTTCTTTCCTTTTCTGCTTCTATTCTCTTTACATCATCAGATTTTCTTGATCTGGAAGAAGCTTTTCTTTCCTTGTCCTTTTCTGCATCTCTTTCTTTAACATCATCAGGTTTTCTTGATCTGGAAGAAGCTTTTCTTTCCTTGTCCTTTTCTGCATCTTTTTCTGTAACATCATCAGGTTTTCTCGTTCTAGAAGAAGTTTTTCTTTCCTTGTCCTTTTGTTTTTCATCAACCTTTGTGCTATCAGTTTGCTTATGACGTAAAGATGCTAATCGCTTTCTTTCCTTTTCTGCTTCTATTCTCTTTACATCATCAGGTTTTCTTGTTCTAGAAGAAGTTTTTCTTTCCTTGTCCTTTTGTTTTTCATCAACCTTTGTGCTATCAGTTTGCTTGTGACGTAAAGATGCTAATCGCTTTCTTTCCTTTTCTGCTTCTATTCTCTTTACATCATCAGGTTTTCTTGATCTGGAAGAAACTTTTCTTTCCTTGTCCTTTTCTGCATCTCTTTCTTTAACATCATCAGGTTTTCTTGATCTGGAAGAAGCTTTTCTCTCCTTGTCCTTTTCTGCATCTTTTTCTTTAACATAATCAGGTTTTCTTGTTCTAGAAGAAGTTTTTCTTTCCTTGTCCTTTTGTTTTTCATCAACCTTTGTGCTATCAGTTTGCTTGTGACGTAAAGATGCTAATCGCTTTCTTTCCTTTTCTGCTTCTATTCTCTTTACATCATCAGGTTTTTTTGATCTGGAAGAAGCTTTTCTTTCCTTGTCCTTTTCTGCATCTCTTTCTTTAACATCATCAGGTTTTCTTGATCTAGAAGCTTTTCTTTCCTTGTCCTTTTCTGCATCTTTTTCCTTAACATCATCAGGTTTTCGTGATCGAGAAATTTTTTTTCTTTCCTTGTCCTTTTCTGCATATTTTCTCCTAACATTATCGGGTTTTCTTGATCGATATAAAGCTTTTCTCATTTTCTCCTTTTGTTTTTCTTGTGATTTTAAAGGAGTGGTTTGGTCAGCAGATTTCTTTCTACACTTCTCTGCTAGTACATGTATGTCATGCTTCCCATTTGTTTCTTTCATAGATGCATGTGCTTTCTGCTTATCTGCTTGATCACGGAAATATGTATGCATAGCATTGTTATTGGGGTAAGGTATTGATCTGTCTTGTTTGTGTATAGGGGACAGTGTTACTGGTGTCACTTCAAATTGGTCAGTAGGTATATGAAGAGATTGTGCCAGGTTGTGGATGTGCTTTACTACCTCCTCTATTCTGGTGAATGACATAAGAATTGCATAGCCATCTGTAGTACTAAGTCCTCTGTCATCTCGACTGTGGCTGTCAAAGAAGAAATACCTATCATTACAAGACATCAATCCAGTTGTATAGCTTGGGGTTGTAGAGCCAATTGTAATAAACAGTGAAGGGTGTAGCGTAGAACCTTGTACAATAGCATCTAATAGGGAATATTGTCCATTCTCTGGATTTGTCTCTCTTTCAGTAAGGATCCCTGCTAGTACATTTCCTTTCAATAATTCATAGGTGTTCTTATTAGTTTCCTGATACTCTGGCAACTCGTCTATCATGAAATATCTTTCTGATGTACTTTGGCATTGTTGAAGGGTATTGTAAATTCTTGCTCCAGTATGAAGAACTTTGTTCAAGATGTCGGTTGTCCAGTTTGAAAGAATGTTTTCTTGTGCAGTTGTGAAGAACTGCAGTACATTGCATGTACATTGCATCCCTGCTGCTGTACCAAAGATCCCATCTCCTTGATGATAGTCTGCAATGGCTACCAGTGATTGGGTTGAACATACTGAGGTACTTGAACGTGCACATTGCATTCGACCTCTGGCCAATGTACCTCTCTGCTTTGCACTCTGCTTTTTCACTTTCATCTTCATTCATATATTGGGACATCATTGTAGACAAGTGTGCCTGGATTGGAGAATATGTTATTATATTATTCTGACAGTTATATTGTTTTCTAGTTTGATGGTCTACAAGATTCCACACCAAAACATTTCAAAAGGGAATACATAAAGATAATCTTGTCAAAATATATCACTCCCTCTACTACATGTACCTAGGGGATGCCATTTTCTTGAGAATGTGATGTACCAGATGGACTCCTATTCCACTATTTCAAAACAGATCAATCATAAATTTTCTTTTTCAAAGCCTATTCTATCTTCTTTCTAATACATTATTTTTTTTACAATTAGGATCTTATGTTATTGAAAAGTAACAAATTACTCAAATATTGAAATATGTTTGTTGCAAAAAAAAATCCCATCAGAACATTTACATGTATTAAGTCCGTCTCATGACATATTGTCAACAACAACAACAAAATAAAACAAATTGCAGCCTCCATGTATTGCTTTGAAACCATACATACATGTATTGACCAGATGATCTTGATTTATTCCTCTTTCGAATAGTTCTGAGTGAAATATTGCAGACCACACAACCATGTAACATCTACAATGTATGAGACTAAAGTACATTTTTTTTTATTTGAGATGGTTTCCCTTTAACATGCTATTTCAATTAAATGTTGAGCTGCGTCATTTGGGCTATGTAACTGGGTAAGCTAGAAAACTTTTCCCAATATTATTTCAAGAACCACTGAGAAATTCCTTCATGATCTTGTTTCGTCTTATGGAGACTACTGTAATACATGTAGCTTATTCTACATGTGTATAATATGCCTGATTCCAAGCTTAAAATACATGTACTTTAAGAAATTATTTCATTTCAATGCTGAAAACTTTTTTGTTTGTTGTGTAACAAAATAATTTGCTCCCAATAAATGGTCATTCTCTGACATTCAATTCCATTTTCATTACAGTTGTCAAATTGAAATTAATGATGATTCAATAATTCTTATGTGATACAAAGAGGGATTTTGTC